GCATTTATTTTGAATTTAATATTGCCAAAAACTATAAGAGTGAACCATTCGACCATTTCTACCCATTTTGCAGCCACATTAATTAAGAGTACTGCGAAGTCAAATGTTACAGGCCCTGAAGAACTAACGATCTCTGTGACAAATTATATTCATTTTAAAATAAAATAATACCTGCAGACAGCAGCCAGTGCAGAACAGAAAGCTGCACCTGTCGCCTGTAGCACATCCTGGGAGTATAGACGCGTCTCGTTCTTAATGTCTTTCATTCACTTAATTGCTACGCGCCTGAACTTTATCTCATACGTTAAAATATTTATAATTTGCATGTTTGAATACTCACTAAGCAATTATTATGGGTCTGAGCGTAACTGCTTGAGTTTTCACTGATTGAGAGATCAAAGCGGGCCAAAAGAGGGTGTAAATTGCACAGATATTGAAAATAGGATGGATTTTACCGCAGATTTGTTATTTTCTTTGAAAGTTTTTGAGGAGTGACTGCTTTGTATCGGAAATTAATTAATTAAAAAGCTTGAATGCAGATGCACGATTGAAGGGTGACGAAGCTGTGATTCATCAGGCTGCTCAGGAAGAAGTGTGACAAAAATACGCTCCGACAGGCATCACATTGCGTGTTTTGTGGAAGTATGTTTCAACAAGCATCACATTCTCAGAGGCGAGTAATGAGCATATGTTTAGAAGTTCAGCTAGAATCACATGTCTTATTGTGGCGAGCATTAGTTCAGGCATACACCACATATTACGTGTTATGCTGTGTATATACCTTTCAGTAAGCATCATATTGCGTGGCCTGGTAACAAACGCTGTTGTCATCACATGGCGCGTTGGGTTAAGTATATGATTTGGGAAGAATCAGATGGCGTGTTTGATTGAGAATATGATTTAATAAGCAACACATGGCATGCTGTGGTCAGTAAATGCTGCGGTATGTATCACATAGCATTTTTCAGCTTGTACACGCTCCAGCAGGCATCACATGGCGTGCTGTAGTAAGTATATGCTAAGGTATGTATCACATAGCATTTTTCAGCTTGTACACGCTCCAGCAGGCATCACATGGCGTGCTGTAGTTAGTATATGCTGCGGTATGTATCACATAACATTTTTCAGCTTGTACACGCTCCAGCAGGCATCACATGGCGTGTTGTACTTAGTATACGCTGCGGTATGTATCACATAGCATTTTCCAGCTTATACACGCTCCAGCAGGCATCACATGGCGTGTCGTGAGGCGTGTTGTGAGGAGAGTTCACCTCAGCAGGCATCACCTGGCGCTCAGCTGTCATGTATTTTTCATTATAAAGTTTATATTTACAATCAAAATCAGAGAGACGAGCATAAATGGAAGAAAGTGAAGAAATTTCGTCACGATTATGATCCTCTTGATCAACAGGTGGCTGGGAATTAAAACAAATGAGTGTGGGAAGTGGAAGCTGGGGTTATACAGGGGTTTGAAGTGGGAGGGGCATAGACGCTGCCGCTGGGGTTACAGGGGGTTGAGGTGGGAAGGGGAATGAAGGGGAATGATTGAGGTATACGGATTATATATAGTAACAGATGTTCCTGCTTGGCAACGCTTTGGTGAACACGCGTACAAGGAAGCAGCATGGATAACCACACCATGCAATGGTAAATCAAAAATAATAAAAATCGCATAATAAAAATTTATTTTGTAATATTTCATACTTATTTCAAGAATATTTGTTTTCGTGATAGTTTCTTGGTTTAACGAAACAAAATTAAAAAAGTTCACATGTATTCAATTTTAATTTTGAATGATGGAAGTTACTATATAAATTGTTCTATTTGTTTGTGTTTAGTTGGAAAATTTCTGGTCGAAAATACTTTACTGAAAAATCACTTAATTAATTACACGCATGACAGATGCTGGCTAAAAAATCGCCCAGATGGCTCCCAAACAACTCGGTTCAAGATCTTACTTACGTGGAAATTACAAAGTCAAATCAACGGTGAGAGAACCTGCGCCTAATTTATCCATAAAATGTGACTCCAACATTGAATCCTGGTTACCAGCAGGTAGGTCGTTGCAGGGATTGAATACTGTGAGCGAACAGGTGCAGAATGTTTCGATAAACTGGAAGCTCTAGCATTGCATTCTGGTAACAATAAGACAAGTCGTTGCATGGCTTGACTACTGTGAGCGAACAGGTGTGGAATGTTTCGATAAACTGGAAGCTCTAGCATTGCATCCTGGTAACAATAAGACAAGTCGTTGCATGGCTTGACTACTGTGAGCGAACAGGTGCGAAATGTTTCGATAAACTGGAAGCTCTAGCATTGCATCCTGGTAACAACAAGATAAGTTGTTACATGGCTTGACTACTGTGAGCAAACAGGTGCGAAATATAGTAATAAAATGGCAACTCCAATCTTGTCTTGCTTGGATTTAGCAGCTTTCTCACCGTAAGTGCGTGTCACTAGGAACAAGTGAATACTTGTTCCTTGTTTTCTAGTTTTTGTTTTTGATTTTACTCTTTTTTTGAACATTCGACTTTTTCACTACCCAACCCTCCTCATACCCTCATTCCCTCGCCTCCATGGGGTACTTCTGCCTGGAACCCAACGGGCTTATCGCAGAGGCCAAGAGGCAGTAACCCAACATCATCATCATCACGACCTAGACTCTCATCTCACTCATAAGGTCACCCACCCTAATCTTCATCCTCACCCAACCCACCATCAAACTTATTAGAACACTCAAGATCTCAGACCTACCGCATCCAACTGCAAAAAAATCGACACAAAAATACTTATCGACATACCCAAAATTTTCCAGACAACCTTCAAAGAACTCGACGCTCCACTTATCCGACTGACTGACACTTACAGTGGTTTTTACGCCTTGACTGACGACGCTACTGCTATTGACAAGCTAACTTCAAATGTAGCGACTGAACCTTCCATAAAATCAACCTGACACCCATTATACCTCCTGACCTTTGAGCTAAATAGACAATTTTTGTACGACAAACTGACAGTGACGTAGGAAGCCACATTACTGACGAAATCAAACACGAAATCACTACACAACAGAACCAGTCACACACACAGGACATCATTAAGATCAAACACTACTCGCACGTCATCAAAATCAAAAGCACGGACACCACAATAGCCCAACGCATACTTACCAACGGATTCTACATATACAACACTAAACTCACACCTTCACAATGCGAACAAGAACAACACACACACTTACTCATATGCTACAAATGTTATCGAATAGAAGACCGCCCTACACACCAATGCACAATGTACATCCACCTCTTGTTCCAAAAGCGCCGAAAAAGACCACACATGCACCCACTGCACCAACACCTACAAGAAATGTCTCAACTGCTACACGACCACCGCACACTGGCCGCCAATTGTCCATATCGTAAGCAAAAAATACAAAACAAACAAGCACAACAAGCAACTATTGAACACGAAAGAAACCGAACATTTATCGAGATAGCCAAACAAGGAATAAACAAACAAACATTCCACAACATAACCTTACATTGACTGACAAGACACAAGTTAAACTGACCGCAATTATTCACGAAACCCACTAAATAGACGAAAAACCGCATGTAAATAGTATGAGCACGCATCATTTTTATTAACCCTCCTCTCTCAACCCCAAACAAACCTTACCCACCTACAACCCACCCAATCATGTGCAATGCGCCTTTTTCATCTCCTTCTGTATTTTCTATTTTTCCTTCAACTCTCTGGCCACTCTGCGCCACCTCTTGTTCTTATCCACTCTTTCTTTGTGGCACCTCAACAACACCACCACCACCACCACCACCACCAACAACAACAACAACAACAACAACAATAACAACACCACCATCACCACCACCACCACCACCAACAACAACAACAACAGCAACAACAACAACAACAATAACACCACCACCACCACCACCATCAACAACAACAACAACAACAACAGTATCAACAACAACAGCAACAATAACAACAACAACAATCCTTGTTACAGACATGCATGTCGTTCATGGGATTGTCTGTTGATAGCGAACAGGTGCGGAATGGCTCGACTGTTCGTAAGGGGCACCGCTGCCGCGTCGCATTACACAAGGTGCGTTGCATCAGTGGACGGCGTGACAGATGGTGCGGGTGGCGAAACTGGAATGCCAGCAGACGATAAATATTGACAAAAAAACGTGCATATAATTATCAAATAAGATTTCATTGAAAACGATGTTTGTTGTGAATATAATTTAGCTTCAATAACAATTAGTCAATACAGCAATTACGCAACGGTATCAATAATGAGAGCCTAATGGTGGAACATTCATAATTACTGATTTCCGTCTCTGATGTGAAATACTTCGTGATTCTTCCTGTTGGGAACCTTGATTTTATCCATATTATTGTATTTAGATCTTAATTCCTAGTAATTTTCTTAATTGTGCCAATTGTAGATCCTTACTTCTCATTATGCAAATTATATAAAACAAATGCATAATAATTTTTCCGGCAGTTGATATTTAGTGATGCAATTGTCTCGATTTATGTCTGCACTTTTTGTTGTCAATCGGCAATGCCAGTTGAAAAATATATAAAACTCGGCGAAGTGAAGTGGTTTTTCAATGGCGAAGGACATGAATTCGCAGTACAACTTACGAGAAAAATTTTGTTTTGGTATCTATATAAAAACATTTTTAATAGTCAGGTTGTCAGCAAAAAATGATATGAATCGAGCCCACAGTTACTAAAATAGATTGATTAAATTCTTGTTAAACGCATAGTCAATAGCGGTAAATCGTGCGACGCTAGGTTGAAGGTACTATGCCGGGAAAACCTGCTACCCGGATTGACGTGCAAAGCCCGGTAGTACTCAGACTAACGTGCAACGTCGGGTGAACCTGTCGCCCAGTTGAACGCGCTCGTGCCGGTGTGAACGTGAGACGCCGGGTGAACCTGTCGCCCAGTTGAACGCAGTCATGCCGGGTGAACGCGCGACGCCGGGTAAACCTGTCGCCCAGTTGAACGTGGTCATGCCGGGTGAACGCGCGACGCTGGGTAAACCTGTCGCCCAGTTGAACGTGGTCATGCCGGGTGAACGCGCGACGCCGGGTAAACCTGTCACCCAGTTGAACGTGCTCATGCCTGGTGAACGCGCGACGCCGGGTAAACCTGTCGCCCAGTTGAACGCGCTCATTTCGGGTGAACGCGCGACGCCGGGTAAACCTGTCACCCAGTTGAACGTGGTCATGCCGGGTGAACGCGATACGCCGGGTAAACCTGTCGCCCAGTTGAACGCGCTCATTTCGGGTGAACGCGCGACGCCGGGTAAACCTGTCGCCCAGTTGAACGCGCTCATTTCGGGTGAACGCGAGACGCCGGGTAAACCTGTCGCCCAGTTGAACGTGCTCATGCCGGGTGAACGCGCGACGCCGGGTAAACCTGTCGCCCAGTTGAACGTGCTCATGCCGGGTGAACGTGCGACGCCGGGTAAACCTGTCGCCCAGTTGAACGCGCTAATGCCGGGTGAACGCGCGACGCCGGGTAAACCTGTCGCCCAGTTGAACGTGCTCATGCCGGGTGAACGCGCGACGCCGGGTAAACCTGTCGCCCAGTTGAACGTGCTCATGCCGGGTGAACGCGCGACGCCGGGTGAACCTGTCGCCCAGTTGAACGTGCTCATGCCGGGTGAACGCGCGACGCCGGGTAAACCTGTCGCCCAGTTGAACGTGCTCATGCCGGCTGAATGTGCGACACCGGGTGGATGCGACAAAGGTTCAACGCTTCGCATGAGCAACGTACGAACGCGATTAACCTGCTACTAATCTCACACATTCTCTCGAGAGCAACGTTAGCTCAACCTTATAGTACGTGAATAATAGGATTTCTAATTTCCTCTAACCATGGCGCGTGAATATTGTTTTCCTACTTACATAAAATCTAATATCAACATGACTATTGAAATACAGACGACATTTCACTGCTGTACACCTACCTACAAACTTCCAACATGAAATACGATATTTTGATAAATAGAACACAATGCTTCAAAAAGAATATCAGATGATGCATTTAAATTTTTTATTTCATCTCGTTTTATCCTTTGTCAAGGAATTCTAATTTACCGTTTGTACTATAACCAAAGAAACAGAGAGAGCTCACGTTGTGATGTCAGAGACAGCAGAAGTGCTGGTTACTTTCTACAGCGTTGTTGTGCATTAATTAAATTATCAGTGCGTTGCGTCCGCAAATTGGGAGCTATACAAGTTTTGAACAAGTCTAAAACACGTTTAAACGCGCTTGGCGGGTGAATATATCTTAGTCTTTAAATTCATAGACTTCTGTATGCAATCGTCAGAGAAGTCAATTGCATTTTTGACCTTATTGTTCAGCACGTAATGAAAAAGTTGCCTGGCTATGCGGGTCAGAATAGGCAACCGTGTATAAAATGAAGGAAAATTTTATTAATGTTTTAAGTTATACAGACTTCTTCGTCGTATTACTTATAAAAATATATCAGTACTCACTGCAGCGAGTGACAGAGAGCGCATTTCCTCGTTGCCGCTTATCATGGATACTCGGCAACGTGAAGTCACAGACAGACAGACGGACGGACGGGCAGACGGACGGACATGACGAGCACAATAGCGCCTTTTTTCCATAAATGAGAAAATGCGCTAAAAATATCATGCACTGGACATGCTGCTTGCCTTGCAGTAGTGCATATGATCAGCGCAGTGCAAGACGCAGTGCAGAGAAGCACTTTCACTGCATGGCAGTGCGTGTGGTCCACTGTGAACCTCCTCTCTGCTCTCTGTGAACCTCCTCTCTGCCGAACCACCTTATGGTTCCTACTTCTTCGATGCTATAAATCCTTTAAAAACCACTCTGACACACATAAATACTACTTCTTCGATGCTATAAATCCTTTATAAACCACTCTTGACACTCGCACTTTCATCTCGGCAATGCATTAAACTTCTAATAAAGTTATTTAGATTAATTAACTCACTGATAATCTGAAATCCAAATATCAAGCATGGTGACAATAATGATTTCAATTCAATTCAGGTTAATATTAAAATGTTGTAAAATTCGAGGTTAAAAATGTATGCCTGTTTGACAGAATTTGCATGTCCGGGAAAATGATTCTATAGACTGAGTAAAATTTTCAGTCAGCATGAGAATTTATGTAACTTGAAAAAAAAGATGCTCACAAATAACTTTAACTTGAAAAGATGCTCACAAATAACTTTAAAAAAAGTTGCTCACAAATAACTTTAAAAAAAGATGCTCACAAATAACTTTAAAAAAGATGCTCACAAATAACTTTAAAAAAGATGCTCACAAATAACTCTAACTTGAAAAGATGCTCACAAATTACCTGGACTCAGGAGCGCACTGGCAGGGTATCGAGAACGTTTTTTGCACCGCCAGCCAAAACGACTTATGAGTCATTTGGTTAAATGGCTTCACTCGCACCTCCAGTGCACCGACGTCACAAAAATTATGAGTATTGATCAAAAGTTGCTCCTTCACACGTTGATCGGTTGCTTTATTCTAGCTTTCAAAAGAGTTAAATTATAATTATTAGATATTAAAATTAGAGTATATAGCTATTTATTTAGCAGCAGTAACTGCGGTGGCATTTAATAAGTCGGCAATTGGTGCAGTAGTAGCTAGGTGGTTAGGAAGAAATTGGTATGAGGTTCAGGTAAAGCAGGTGTGGATGCAGCTGGTGTGATTGCTGAAAATTAGGCGGCTACTGATATACTGACAGCTGGTGTGGTGGCAAGCGGTAGGTCGACAGCTATGGTAGTGGCAACTCATGTGCTGACAGATGGTGAGCTGGCAGCTGGTGAGCTGGCAGCTGGTGAGGTGGCAGATGGTAGCGTGGCAGCTGGTGAGGCAGCAGGTGGTAGGGTGGCAGCTGGTGAGGCAGCAGGAGGTAGCGTGGCAGCTGGTGAGGCGGCAGGTGGTAGCGTGGCACCTGGTGAGGCGGCAGGTGGTAGCGTGGCAGCTGGTGAGGTGGCAGGTGGTAGCGTGGCAGCTGGTGAGGCAGCAGGTGGTAGCGTGGCAGCTGGTGAGGCAGCAGGTGGAAGCGTGGCAGCTGGTGAGGTGGCAGCTGGTGAGGTGGCAGCTGGTGAGGTGGCAGCTGGTGAGGTGGCAGCTGGTGAGGCGGCAGGTGGTAGCGCGGCAGCTGGTGAGGCAGCAGGAGATAGAGTGGCAGCTGGTGAGGCGGCAGGTGGTAGCATGGCAGGTGGTGAGGTGGCAGGTGGTAGCGTGGCAGCTGGTGAGGTGGCAGCTGGTGAGGTGGCAGCTGGTGAGGTGGCAGCTGGTGAGGTGGCAGCTGGTGAGGCGGCAGGTTGTAGGGTGGCAGCTGGTGAGGCGGCAGGTGGTAGCGTGGCAGCTGGTGAGGCGGCAGGTGGTAGCGTGGCAGCTGGTGAGGCGGCAGGTGGTAGCGTGGCAGCTGGTGAGGCGGCAGGTGGTAGCGTGGCAGCTGGTGAGGTGGCAGGTGGTAGCGTGGCAGCTGGTGAGGTGGCAGCTGGTGAGGTGGCAGCTGGTGAGGTGGCAGCTGGTGCAGCAGCGCGGGGAGAGTTGCTCGCCAGCCTCAGCGTCTGCCCAACACCTGCGTCGATGCCAGCCTGTCGGCCATGAGTCTCCGTCGTATCGAATAATTAAGCTCAACTTTTCTTGAGTAAGAATTTTAAAGCAAAAAAAACGCCAAGTGAATTCACCATATCTTAATTGAAAACGTTTCGGAGCCCAGCTACATCATCAGTTCAAAAAATACTGAATTTTAAAACATAAAAAAAAAGCCAAGTGAATTCACCATATCTTAATTGGAAACGTTTCGGAGACCAGCTCCAGCGTCAGTTCAAAAAATACTGAAATTAAAAAAAAAAACGCCAAGTGAATTCACCATATCTTCATTGCAAACGTTTCGCAGACCAGCCCCATTATCAGTTAAAAAAATACTCAACTTATGATGGTGATCAGTTATATAAGCATTTGTTACTCCTGCATCGGTCTTTTCAGATTAGGAAACACAGCGGGATTTGTGCATGTTTTTTTTTAAGAACAGCGACTAAGACGGATATGAATCAAAACTATAGAACAATACATAGAACAATAACAGCGACAAAACTATAGAACAAAACACAGTATTGTTCTATAGTTTTGTTTCAATTAAATATCAGAAATACTACTATGATTAAAACAAATCTGTTGTCAATCAATATACATATTGAAGCAGCCTGAGTTGTCCATTTAATCCTCCACATGCGCGTGGATAGTCAGACTCGTGGCCAGTTTGACAGCTGCCCCCGGTATCCATGTACAGTTTTGTAATTTAATCCAGATTTCATTGAAGACCAGCGAGTTTTTCTTAACGATAATTTTCTTATTGTTTTTCTCTATTCGGCGAATTAGGCTTTTGATAGGAATTTTAATTTCAAATATCAGGTTTCCAAGGGACATTTTATTATAATTCATTGCGACGTTTCGAATGCAACTTCATTCATTATCAAGTAGGGGAGGAGTTTTGCAACACTTGAACATTATAGAACAACTTCTGCCAACCTACACCAAAGTTTTGTAATTGTGCACGCTGTGTACAGCTTGTGTGAGCTGGAAATCGTATGTGATGTCACGAACAGCTGTTTTGGGGCGCTGGACATCGTGTACGATAACGGACACTTGTTTTGGGGCGCTGGATATCGTGTGCTGTCAGGAACACCTGTTTTGGGGCGCTGGATATCGTGTACGATAACGGACACTTGTTTTGGGGCGCTGGACATCGTGCGCTGTCACGAACGCCTGTTTTGGGGCGCTGGATATCGTGTGCTGTCACGATCACCTGTTTTGGGGCGCTGGATATCGTGTGCTGTCACGATCACCTGTTTTGGGGCGCTGGACATCGTGTACTGTCACGAACACCTGTTTTGGGGCGCTGGACAAAGTGGACATCGTGTACTGTCACGTACGCCTGTTTTGGGGCGCTGGACATCGTGTGCTGTCACGGACACACATCACACCCACATTCGATCACATTTTGTTTCGATTACATTTGAAACAATCATCAGCTTTACCCTTACATTAGCTACATTTTTGATCCCCGCTATATATGCAACAGAATCACGGAGGTATAAGAAAAGAATTACCTTATTATCTTGAACAAAATCAATACAAAGTCGCACCAATTGACATGAAAACCTCCATTTATTTATAAGGATTCCATGTAATTACAGAGAAATCAACGCTTTTTATCCTGCATGACACGAAAAGTATTGTTCTATCACCGATTTGTAAGAGACGGTTAGGATGATATAAGATGTATGATCCTATCATCCGTTATATATAGGACGTAGTATTATTGTCGTACTTTTCCTATTATTTAACACTAATTTTTTTGCGATGCTTAGCGTTGTGAATACACACCCTATAAATCTATGGATGCTTCACACACTCAGAATTGATTGGAGTAGACACAACGCTAAAAAAATTGTAGAAAAAACCTCGCCTGCATTCCACTTTGAACGGCATTCCACACACCTCCTAACAAAGAGCGACACTGTGGGAGATTCTATTATGCAGCATGAATTTCGTCTATTATGCAGCATGAATTTCTTCTATTATGCAGCATGAATTTCGTGGCTTTACTAGCAAGGCATTGACGATCCATACTCCTTTGTTTATGCGTCTCAGGTATTTTAATTACTCTGGCAACAACACCAGAAATTAAACTGTTCTAATGGTTCTCGTGGCAGGATTGATAATTGCATGGCACTATGGAAGTTATAAATTTGGTATTGCGATGAACAGTGTCGTAATGTTTTTTTTAATAAAAATTAAAAGAGTAAGCAATGCTGGTTCTAAAAATACAGGCAGTTCACGCTCACTCTACTGGTTTATTCGTGTTTTTAAATTTCCTATCTGAATTTCAGGTTAATTCAGAGTTAACTGAGGAAACTAATGCAGAATTTTTTCCTGCCTGTGTTGTCAAACAACTAGGCGGAAATATCAGTTAGGTCTAATTCTCGTGGAGAATCACGCATTACTATACCTAGTTCCCTACATAAAAAACCAGCCATTCCTACCTAGTTCTCTACATATAAAAAGGCCAGGCATTCCTACCTAGTTCTCTACATAAAAAGACCATGGCATTCCTAAGTAGTTTTCCACATCAAAACACCGGGTATTCCTACTTAGTACTCTACATACAAAGACCAGGTATTCCTACCTAGTTCTCTACATAAAAAGACCAGGCATTCCTAAGTAGTTTTCTACATCAAAACACCGGGTATTCCTACTTAGTTCTCTACATAAAAAAACTAGGCATTCCCATTCGGTTCTCTAAATAAAAAGACCGAAGAACTTCTACACGTTTTTCTACATAAAAAGACCAGGTATTCCTACTCAGTTCTCTACATAAAAAGACCAGGTATTTCTCCATGTTTCTCCACGTAAAAAGTTCAGCTATTCCTACCGAGTTCTCTTCATAAAAAGACCAGGTATTCCAAAAGTTCTTTTCTAAATCAAAACACCATATATTCATACTTAGTTCTCTACATGAAAAGACCAGGTATTCCTGCATGTTTCTCTACATAAAAAGTTCAGCTATTCCTACATGTTTTTCTACATAAATTACCAGGTATTCCTATCTAGTTTTCTACATAAAAAGACCAGGCATTCCTACCTAGTTCTCTACATAATACCTTCTCAGGTATTCCAACATGCTTCTCTACATTAAAAGTTCAGCTATTCCTTCCTAGTTCTCTACATAAAAAGACTAGGCCAGGTATTCCTACATGTTTCTCTACATAAAAAGACCAGCTATTCCTACCCAGTTCTCCCATATAACCAGATGATAAATAGTTATAGCTATCGCCGATGGCTCTAAGCACAGGTTTCGTTTCATGTCTAACTGTCGAGCAGGCAGCTGCACTTCGAGCAGAGGACGCTCAGCGTTCCTGCTCACACCGCCGCTGTGCTGCAGCTGCGATACAACAAAAAATCGCAGCGATTCTAAAAAAAACTGCAAATTTCTACACACTGCGCAGGTGGCTCGGGTATATCGACGCAGCACTCTCATATATTTTTATTTTACTCGGGGATTTTAAGTTTCAAGATGAACGTGAAGTTCAGATTCAGTTCTGCCAGGTGAATTCAAAACTTAAATGGAAATTAGCAGATGGAACCTTATTACCCTTTTAATTTGCAGTCTTGCGCCACGTGCCAAAATGCCCAGAAATGCACAAAATATCGATGTAACACGTGGCTTACTCACGCAAGGATAGTAGGGAAATTCTTTGGAAACATTGAACAAAAATTGTGATGCTGGAGATAACAAAAATGAAGAAACGAACAATATTGGCGGAAAAGTTGATGTTACTTTAGATCAGCGTCGTTAAAAATGCGAATAAAACAACATCATTATCGAAATAATGTGTTATTTCTTTATTATTCTGATTAATTATTCTGAAATAACAACACGGTTATTATCAGAATATTATAATATTTTATGATAAAGAGGAATATTTAATAATAATATAATTCGAAATTTAAACGAAACTAAACAGATTTGCTCCTACTCCTTTTGTTCAGTCTATATCACTAAAGTTCTCGCATACAACGAACGTCAACTCTGCCGCCATTAGAAGCTATGGCGAAGAGATTATTCGACTTGAATAGCTAAGAGATTCATTTGACTTTCATAAGTATAGCGACGAGATTCATTAGACTCGTTATAAAGACGAGATTCATTACACTCGTTGTAAAGACGAGATTCATTAGACTCGTTATAGCCACGAGATTCATCAGATTCGTTATAACGACGAGATTCATTCGACCAGTTATAACGAGATTCATTCGACTCGTATAGCAAACAGATCGATTCGACTCGTATAGCGAAGAGATTATTTATCTCATATAGAAATCATTCAACTGACATAGCTAGCATTATTACGCTCGTATATAGATATAATCCATTCAACTGATATAGCATTATTACGCTCGTATAGAAATATAATTCATTCAACTGATATAGCAGCAAGATTCATTCGACTCTTGTTTACTATTCTCATCGTCAAGAACGCGAATGCATGTGAGCCGAGCGAACAGTGAAGACTCTGGTGTAGCTCGCTGTTTTGCAAGCGTCTGGTCTGTACACGTCTCCTGATACGGCAGAAGAAGGAGTGGCTTGCACTCTTTTAGGTCATACGTAAGTGCAGCTCCATAAGACTACTCGCACACAGGGAGAAACCCACGTAACATATGGCCGATGAATTTTCCGACGCATCATATCTAGTCTCATATCTTGTTCATTCAGAAGTTATAAGTCCAATTGACAACGGCATGCATGAATGATTCTAAGAAGACGATCGAATATGGAAAACGAGCTATGAGACAGGCAGTGCCATATGGAGTTTAAGCTGCGACATCTGATAACATGTTTTGAATAAGGGATAATTATAAGCACGTCTGATCGTCACTTATTAACAGAGTTTCTCAAATTTCACTTCCTTATTGAAATTGTTAAGAGAATCTAATACTAAATTTCGCCCTATGATGACTTCTTCTCACGAACTTCAGGCTCATGAACCACTGATGCTTAATTCAATATGTAACTTTCAAGCAGACATAGATTTGTTTACCGTTCATCTCATGCGGAAGGGCAAATAGTTTTGGTTTTGAGTTTAAGTTGCGTGTTGAATAGAGTTTCAGTGCGCAGAGAATCTATTATATGGAATACAAAGTCTTCTTTTTATTAAAAATTCCATATATTGTCTGGATACTACCTAGCGGCTTTATTTTTGGTGGTAGAATTAAGAGACATTAAAAACATTTAAGAGAGTTAGATTTAAAAGCATGGATTTTGTTTTTACCTTAGCAAGTGTGATTAATATATACATAAAAGAATTACGAGTCAAAGTCTTCGCATAATTTCAAAACGGGTATTGAATGTGCTGAATGTGATAAAACAAATGTTTCTACAATAGCCATTATTAAATAAAGTTCAATTCATGATTATCAACTGGAGTTGGGGTGACGGAGTTCAGCATAACGTATCTCTCAAATTGCACCGATAATCTAATATCAGGTAACGTCAGGTTAACCTTTTAGCAGTATATAACATTCTAGAGTGTGTTAAATATGTGAAATATATATATTTGGTAAAAAAAACATTTATACAATAATCGTATAAAGTCAAAAAACATCACAATGATCAATAATAAGATGGTTTGCAGCGGAGAGTTTACGTGGTAGCGAGGATACCTCCTGCAAGGGGTAGGTTGGTTGAAGCTCATCATCCTCAGCGCAACCCACCTGTTGAACCGAGCAATATAAGCATCTGCCCCCTGCTTACTTCTTCCATTACCATTTGCGACGAGTGGGGGTGCGCTGCGCACGTCCACGCTCTTCTAAACGCACACTAAACGATTTTCTAATTTGTTGTGCGACAGTTGGGTGTAAAAAATTACAAAACGTATTTTTATTGATTATCTCGAGTGACAAATGCTGGTGGCAGGTGAGATAATAACTTTTTGACTATAGAAGAAACGAGTGTAAATATCAATTCGGGACAAGAAATTGAAAATTCCAATCGTTCAGTGGTCTAATTGGTGCTATGAAGACGAAAGTGCGGATATCCATCCATTCATATAACATGAAAATTGTATGATTTACTTCCAATGTGAATTTTTAAAACATTTTTCGACTGTATGCAGCTTTAACTGAAAACAAGAACAAACAATTCACAACAGAAAAGTGATCAGAGAACAGTTTGATCGAGGAACGGTGTAGAGCGAACAAGGTGCAGAGCGATCGTTAAATGCGCCGATGAATTCGTTTTCATGGTAATGGTCGATGTTTCTTGACTAAATACCGTACTAGAAAGTGATAGATCCAACCGGAGATGGATGTCACCACAGTCACCTTAAGGAAAAATATCGTATCTGGATTGAACTAAAATTGTTGTGTTCCAACTTTACGTACCCTGTATGTCATTAGATTCACTCCAAATTAGTCAGAACATTTTCTTGACGAACATGAAACACGAGAGGGAAAGTTCTCCTATTCAGTCCGTGGTGAACCCCATGAAAGGTCTTGACGATCAAAACCCGTCGAGTGACATGGATTATATATTAAGTGGTCAAGACTCTCATCAGGACATCTGCGACATGTCGACCAATCAAGACAACTCCGCCAGCCCAGTCGGACATCATTCTGAAAGCCAAAGTCAGTCTTGCACTATGGAGGATAATTCTGCTACTCAGAGTCATCAATTTTATAATCCGGTTGAAAATGTGTCGCAGCACTCCTACAGCTCATCGGTTTTCAAGTATCCTTCGAGCGTGTCTCATATTCAGGAGAATTTAAATCAATTGGAAGGAGGCATAAGCAAACTGCAACAGGACATGTCTTTGGTGCGCATTTCGAACGACGGCACTGACAGCTCGTTGCAAAATCTTTATCTAGAGCGCCTTCAGGAACTCGTACCCTGGGTGCCTAATGACGAAGAGCTTCCAAAGCTACAATTAGTTCAGGCAGTTATCGATTACATCCACCTGCTCCAGGACCAGCTGGAGGTGGGAGCTTGTAATAACGGCCATTCCGCTGAAGCTGCTGACATTTCATATTGCTCCGATGAGATGAGTATTCCAATTACTCCTCCTTCCAGAGAACCAATGAACTCGAATAGCACTCACTTGCACTTTAATGGTGTTGGCCTCAACAGCTGCCATCACTCATCTTCATCATCATTATCACCTTCACCATCGTCATCACTACCAGCCCAGACAGCTGGCCAGCCACACCTGTTGCATGATCTCGAACAAAAACATCTGGCTAATGAGTTGTACCAACTACACGATGCGCAAAGAAGCACACCCGAAAAAAGTAGCAGCCAACAACATATGTTTGAGAATTTCATCGACCAGCATGGAATAATTGATGACCTTCGTCACATGAGGACGAAGAATGCAGTGTATACACGGCAGCATATGGTCATGAGCCCAGTGGAGGGAGGGGCGGGAGGCGAGGGAGATGCTGGAGCAACTCTAGAGCGCGCCATCTCTGGCACACATGCCAGCCGCGCACTGTCGCAACCTCCATGTCACTTCTGTCCTCACGATCAGGGCTGCCAACACTACGGGGCTGCGAGCGTAGACCGCGCCGTCTGTTCAGGTCTTCCTGTGTTTCCTTTCCCAGCACCACCCAGTCCTAAGTCTATTAGAGCAGCAAGGAAAAAGAAACAACAACTGCGAAAATTGCAGGAGCTGCAAGGACAACAAGATGATGTTTTCCACATGTACGCGAGTAACTGTTCCTCTCAAACTGCCGCATGATTTGATTTATCAATGAAAATTTTTTTCAATTGAGGCTCTTTATTATTGTACGTACTTAGTACTTAGTAATAATTTTTTGTATATAATTTGTGCCATTACTATCAAATCGACAGAATACATCGATTTGTTCCAACTTCCAGTCAATTTTTTATTTGCTTCGGACACTTGTTCTTTTTTATGCTGTTCTGTCTGAATTTATAATCATTTAAAAATTAAACGAAATTATTTTACTCGTCAGTTGAATATTTCCACTGTCTAACTCACCAGATGGGAAGTTTCTAAAGCATACATTTAGGAGATGGGAAGTTTCTAAAGCATACATTTAGGTAAATATTATTGTAGCTAAGCGCTTTGCCAGCTTTCATGGCAGATTTATCCTCGGATTTATCACTTGATATGAAATTAAGAAAATGTACGCTCTGACCGTGACGCTCGCAACTCTCAAATTTTACGCGCTTCATTCAATCCGAGACAGTTTGTAATCCATTGAGTTTCTAGCCGATTCAATTATTCATTCAAAATTTCATTGATTGAGCCAAACGTTACTATATTGAGTGCGATGAGTTCGGCTGGCACCCCCTTGTCTAGTGCGATCAATTGAGAGAGTCTTTGCTAGTACAATAGCTGCTAGAGCTCAGCCCTGAGACTAATAAAAAAACAAGTCATGCACAAACACGATCAGGCACCTGGTCATTCTCTCCCTCTATTTTATGACAGAACTTCACGTGAAAGCCCAGCATTGTTTAATAATTACCGGTAGGGACATTTCTTATGGAGTTAAAACATTATTTATTGATAATTTTATCGAGTTTTAGTCTATGTAAGACAAGCGCATTATAGCAATGGAACTCTTGACGCGTAAATACTTAGAAATGAGAGCGATAAAGCACATCTGGCAGCACTTCCGCCAGTCGCGCTCAAGCACGACAGATTTCCCGCCAAATAAGGCAACAACATATGGTCGTCTCAGGGTATAGAATACATGCCTTTAAGCGGTCAAATGATTATTATACGATCGTATCATGCCCCATACCTATTATAAAGGAAAGCTCTAGTATCTAGTTTGTACGTTGCTTCAACAGATGGTCGAGAATTTTTAGCACTAAATGGAATTGCGGCAAAGATCTCCTCGTGCAACCGACGCGCCGTAGCAGGATCTATTCTAAGCTGATGAGCCTTACTTATGAAGGGGATTCATACACCTGTAGCATTCTCCATCACTTGAATCTCTATTACAGAACGTTACTTTCAAGTCAATTTAACCCACTTATCAATGTTCCAACTTATAACGGATTCTCTCCATTTAATTTGCGTTGAACACAACAATGAACGCGTAAAAAAAACATAAAATCATTCCCGCAATTGTTAGCGAATATAGTGAATAAAACACTCAAACGTTTGAATAAATCTTCAAAGCCTTAAAAACATATGAATGTTGTTTTTGGCAGATAAAATTAATTGACTTTTAAATTTAATGTTCAATCATTACCTTACAAACCTGTTGATAGTTGTACATCACGATCCCCGAAAATCATATAAACGTCGTTCAGCGTCAGCACTTGACATTTTCCGTTTTATTTATGAATGTCGGGACATCAGCGCATGAAACAGTTGAGCAACTTGACCATCAGTGAATTTTCAGTGTGCGTTCTTCAATGCTTCACACCTGCTGATGCCCAACACGACATGCTTCCTACTTGTCGTTGTTGATATAAGAGTTCTCAACATAGCCTTGATTGTGTGAAGATGTAACTCTAATACTTGATCTAATCATAAGTTTGTAGAGATAGTCAAACTATATTAACTGGTATAATAGTGAATTGTTTAATAGTAAAGGTTGAAACGTTATGTATCCGATAGTTTCAAATCCAAGCCGACGTTTCCAGGAAGTGATTGAGAAGCTCCACGTCAGTGACTGTTGAATGGCATCCAGTTCTTTGTGCTACCCTTCGTTTTCTACGTTTTATTTTCGCTTTATGAATTTCGATTAGTTTTAATCTTCTAAATAGTTTTATTTAGCATGCCGCTTCTCGATCTCATATTTTCAACATAATTTTGATTGTTCACGCCTTACTAGCAATCAGTTGCCGTAATAAAAGAAAGCTTCATAAGTTTCACCGAGCATTTGTTAACTGTCAGCATATGTATTCCATTTCAAATAAGTTGAACTTTTTTCGTTCATGGTCGCAGTCTCGTTTACCATGTAGGCGATTTCAGTTATTCATGACCATAACGTAATAAAGCAGAAGCTAGAACTTGAATTCAAGGCTATGTATGTATATTTATGGATATAAATGTAGTTTTTCTAGCGACTTATCTTAGAATCTATTTATGGTTATCCGAATGAATATAAATTGTTAACCTCGCCTAAATTTCTTCAATTCCTTTCACATTTGATAAGGAAAAACCTCAAACATTAAAATACTGTTGGAAAAATCGGCTTAAATCCTATTTGTTTATACAGGTAAGCCCAACAAGCAAATGAGGTTGAAGCGACGTTTTATTAACGTTAATACAACAAAACAAAGTTCTATTCAATGACATATATACGAGGTGGGATATTGATATTTGCGCAGGCAAGTCAATGACATGTCCATTTGTAACTTAGGGTATGATTAATGACTAGTACAAACCACGCGACAGATACTGTAACTAGGTCATACCTGAGAAAATAGAATTATCAGAAAAGGAACGAACAATAATAGCCAAGTTCAATACTCATGCGTTTCTTTGCTGCTCCAAGGGCGTTGAACATTTAAACAACTTCATTATTTAGGCTAAACATTGATTGGCAAAAGCTTCTGAAACAAACACGACAGCTTGTTTCTGAAGTATTTTTTGAATCAAGAAACCAAAAGCAAGAGGAATGGTAGGGAAATAAAATATCGAGTCTATGAAACGAGATATGTTAGCGACAGTAAAAGGACTGAAATAATTTCATACACTTTATATAAGCCCGAAACTAAGATTGTTAACCTCATGTCATCTGCATACTACACGGGCGTATGCGAGTTTAGGTGCAAAATAGCATGAAAATTACATTTTCTTATACGCTACTATATCAACGCAAATCGAATAATATGGAATCCCAGAGGCATGTTAAAGTAACAGGAGAATATTTAGATTTATTTTGAATTTTTCAATCATATAAATCGTTATTGAGTCGCATGGTCGCGGATAAAAGAGATCTACGACCGCGGTGGTTGAGGGTGAAAATAGACTCATCATTGGCAGCGGCGTACAATAACGTGATCTGAAATTTGGAAGCCTCAGCCACGCTTTCAAATTTCAGGCCTATAATAATTTTTTTAGTGAACAGTACAATTAATGTCGAAGTAGTACAGTAAAAGTAGAAATTTCAATTAGGAGAAGTCGAAATTTGCTTACAAGTCCGCTCAGTAGTGAATGAATTATAGCTCACCACAACGAACAACCCAGAAGCAGAAATAAAAATACGCATTTTCAAAGCTAAGTCAGTAGTTTACAACTAGATACGTACTTATCAAGGAAATAATAGATACAAACACGAGTATCCTTAATCTTCGAGTGAATGAAGACAAGAGAGTTTCATTAAGCACTCGAGTCTTCAACACGTTTATTTATTTAGTCTAACTCCCACGCGGCAAAGTGGATACTAGCAGAAGATTTTAGCTTCACAGAGGAACGTCACAGACGAAAATTGATGCAGTCGTCATAATATGCTATCTTTCTACAGAGGTACCAATATTGCGCAAGCAGTTGAGTAACTCCGACGAAAGAGATTTTTCGAGCAGTACAGTAAATTAGTATAGTAAAAAAAACGTCATGAGTACATTTGAACACCTAAATTTATCCAGTCGAAAGGGAAGTAAATTACGAGATCAAACAGACGTCCAGTTAGTCTTTAGAAGCAGACTTAGCAGACAGATGAGAGTGATGGTGTGAGGGCTATGTAGAACAACAGCATCACCAGCCACAAGAAGAATATTCTACTTCTTCTTCTGGCTGGTAACTTTCTTCGGCGGCGCCCACCTGTAATTCAACACAATTATAATCCCAGGACAAAGACATCTCATTCAATGCTCGTAAAAAAATGCTAAATTAGATAGGATACGATCTCAATCAGAACATGGAAACAATAGTTGGCCCATAAACACGAACATTCGACCGTGAAAAGCTTAGTGTTGAAGGTCAAACAAGAATCATCTCTCATAAACTAATTTTTCTTGTGGTCAGCGGAGAATGTTCACTGACTTATAAGGAGTTTACCTGAAAGCAAAGAACGAAATTTTTCCCATATAAATTCCCCCACAAGTTGTAGACAAAACTCAGACGTCAACAGAGACCAAACTTTCAAACTCGCTCGAGTGAACGTAACCTCCAATGTGCACGGAGTGGTTAAATTCTCATCCATGATTGGTAGGCTTAGCTTGAAAGTCCTTTAGTGATTTGCTGACGGAGAATTTATAACTATAACTTATACTATAGACTCTAATTTATAACAATTTTTGACAGTACGGCACCAGAAGACTTACCTCAGCGCACTGGGGTCAACAGTGAGTCTGGGTCGGTTATACTGAGGGCTGTTGATATACTCCTCGACCAGCTTGGGAGTGACGCAGATTACGTGTTGCCCCTTCCAATACTTGACCAAGTTCAAGCATTGCAGCGTTGAGATGATGTCTTGCTGGGTAAAGCTCGTCATATGGCTAACGCAGTCCAGGAGAGAAAGAGAATCGATTTAACGTAATAATCGACGTGCAGCACATTGAATAAACTGATGAGCCTACTTTAATAACAATTTAGGAAGAAATCATGACCTTGCTGATGGCTTAAAACAGCTTCAGATCATCATTCAAAATGGCTGCTGATGTACAAAAAGTCCAACAATCAAAACAAACCATAATGAGCTTAGTGACACCAGATTCATGGTAGGGCTAAGAGCGGCGGCAAGCTTGTAAAATTTGAAATAGATAGAAGAAAGAATAGAAAGCAGTAAACCTTCCACTTGCTGAAGTCACATAGGGTCAATTATTTGCGAACAGGACTCCGTTACCACAATGACTCCATTTATGCTCCATTCAGTGACATAGCGAGTGGTATATACACATGAAATATTATGCCGTTTATTTGTATGGTAAATGCGAATTACCTGAGATCTTTGATGGAGAGTGTTCCTTTGTAGCCACGCATGATCTCCAGAAGAACATACGTCCAATAAGATCTGTAGGAGAGCTTGCCCAGGTCTGAGAGCGGCTTCTCAGGGCTCCCAACGCAGCCTTCTAACTTGCTCAGTTCGTAGCTGCAATTAAAATAACAAACCTCAATAAAAATATCATATTTTAAATGCATACAAAATAAATACAAACATGGGTATTTGAATTTATGTTAGTTAACAAGTCTCGCGTGCAATGATGTGATTGGTATGCATGCAATGATACGAGAAAAAAAGAAACTGATTTTTTTTTGTCTTCTTTAGATTTCATCTCAAAGCTGTCATACCAATGAAGCGAATATGGAAGAGGAAAAAGGGGTGGAGCTCGACTTGATCGCTGTAAACATCTCGAGCTTCATGTCTCGAGTTTCACAAACATCTCATGGCACTAGCACAATAATGATCAAGCTTGTAGGCAAATTTTATTTACACACTAATAGCGAAAGCATCACAGTAGTGACGTTTGAACAATAAAAATTTATTTCATATATTTTAGGAACACACAACATTATACCAGCAATAAACTACGAATTTGTGTTGTTTAAGCTTGAACAAAGCATCCCTGCAGCGTAAGAAGACCACAGTGCCCTCACAGTTGGACTCTCAGACACCAAACGAATTTGATAGGGCAAGCACTTGCAGCCCAGCCCGCCCTGCTTTCATTCTTGTCAATATAAATCATATAGATAGTGCTTTCCTTAGCAAAATGATCAATTTATGGTTCGAAAAGAAGCAAAACATAAAAAAAACAGGATCTTGCATTGTAGCACTACAGAATATCTTGTCATATAGAAGATGATCAACTACAGCCCCGCTGCCCAGCAAAGCCAGACTTATGACAAACACTGAAAATGTAGGTAATGGTAATTATATTGCAAATAAATTTATTCTTCTACCTGAAAGCAATCAGAAGTTTCCCGTAGCCTTTGCGTTGATACGGTGGAAGCGTCAAGATGCAGGCAACATTGTTGTTTTCAGGCGATTCTTTTTCCTGAAAATAAAATAAAAAAATTTATACATACACAAAAAAGAAAGGGTAACAATAATTAATTATCCAGAAACACACTTAGGAACTTTGTACATTCAAGTGCAAATGAAAGAATTCAGTAAAAAAAATCTTGGTAAAAATATATATGTTTCATCACATTTATAAATTCTGTTGAGATTTCAACATGAAAACCTATTTATGAATGAAAAGTAATGTAACGATCAACGACAAGAATTCATACTTTGGAAAAATATCCAACAAGATGAGCCCCTTGCTTATCCACTTCACAAAGAACGTAGAAGAGGAAGGGATCGACGTCAAAGTACAGAGTTTTATGGTCCAGGAAGAGTTTGGCCAAGAGACACAAGTTCTGGCAGTAAATCTTATATTCTGAGCCGTCCACCTCGTAGACAGACAGGGTTCCTTTCCGGTAGATTTCATTGCCAGGCGGCTGGCGCATTGTACACTCGCTCTGCAACATAGTACAATTACGATAATAATAATTTCCTGAAAAAAAAAAACCTGGAAAAATTGGATGATTTTAGTGACGCCTCCTGGTGAACGCCAAAAATTAAAATATCTTAAACACAATAATGACTTTATTATGATTATTGTAACAACCTTTACTAATGGTTCATAAAAATACAAATGTTGTTCTCAAAACTTAAAATTTTTGAGAAAAATTAAGCTTAAATGCTGCTTGTACCTGGAAAGTATGAGTATTTTTTCAATTTATAATATTAGTATAATGAAAAAACATTTAGATAGTGAAAACATCTTCAATTCACTTGAACCCAATTGAAATGTGTATAATAAGTACCTACAACATTTTCAACTCAAAGAAATTGAATACATGAACTACACACTAAATTTTCTTATAAAGCATGATAATTTCTTATCAAAAGTAAACAAACCAAGTGATATCTGTAGGTTTTCTCAAGTCTCATGTACTTGAGGCAGTACTGGCATATGTACAGACATGGCGCCTTGCCGTATTCTTCCGGGAAAGGACTGAAATACCAAGTGTCTATTTCATGTCTTCCCATTTGTATTTTGTTTATATATTTGACTTTGGTGATTGCCTCGTGTTCTTTCTCAAGAGCCGCTGTAGTTGGATCCATGTCAGCATATGTCTGAAAAATAAATAAGTTTTCAGTTAGGTGTACAGACATTGGTTTCAAGATGCTAAATGTGGCAAGAATGCTTTCTCCTTTTGCAATCAAGAATTTCCAAGAAATCCAATGAAATTATTATCAATTTTTTACATAGTCACTGTACATTTTTCATAAATTCATCAGTGATTTGCTCCTTTAATATGCTAAATTCTGAAAAATAGTCTGGAAAAAATATCACATTATAATGTTTAACACTTTCTAGTGAAGGTTCAAAACTGAGATTTTCTGCACATTTTTATGTCCACCAATTAGAGATTTAAGATATGTTCCCTAAATAGAGGAGAGGCCATGACAATCATATTGACAAAAGAAATATAGGTATCTAAAAAAACTGGATTAGTTATTACATTTTAAAATTGAGTTATAATCACTCACGGTCCAGTTGATCCACAAAAAAATGATTTTAAATCATGCTAGTTTCCATCTTCAAATTTAACTACAATTTGATTGAAATACTGAAAACAAATTAAGGCCATAGGCATTCATCATCTCACTGAACACAAACAATTATATATTCTTCTAGAACATGAAACTACATATCTGCTTCTTACCTTCTGCACATGATTAATCTCATCATGCTTGCGTTTCTGATTTCTGGTGATTTTTCTACCTCCTGGCTGGTCATGTAGTAGATCAGTTATGCCACAGCCTAGTCCATTCTCTGATCCACTGTCAAATGGTTGCCCAATTCTGGAAATACACACAATAAAAAACATTATTGTTTGAAGAGAACTACAGGTTGTAGCTTATTTGATACAACACATATTAATTAGCAAAACATTACTTGATACAGATCATCAATATGGGCTCAGAACTCACATCATAGAATGTGTATCTTTGCCAAAAGACTATTTGATGGTGTGATGGTGGAATGATTTTTTGGAAGATATATTTGGAAGCATAAAAACAAATTTCACCAGCAAATTTTGTAAGTAGCAGGTTATTCTGGGAGGCTCAACACTGAATAAAAAAAAATTATAGAATAGGTACGGTACACTTTATGGAATACCTAACTTGCTTCACATGGAACAGCAGAGAAGCTGATAGGATATGATGGTATCCATGTTGCTAAGATATTAATGTACACAAGATTGCCTTCAAGCATACAAACAAATTAACAAACCATAAAGGTCATCACCAATGAAACATTTTAATCTCTCAACATGATAATTCTTGGGATATAATGACTATGATAATTCATTATTATCATTAGGATATGATATATGGAGATATAACATAATTTTAAGATAATTTTCATCATGTTCAAATATACAAAAACATTCTCTAACCTTCCCAATTAGAAAATCTAACAACTGTTAATGTCAAGGAAATAATCCTGACCTTTGACGTGGGACCCATTCATCCAGCCGTCTGTTGAGGTTGGCATAGTGGACATAGAACTCAAACTCTCGATTTGATTCATTGTAGCGGCGCTGAAGTAACTCGGCCCCATCTATGATATTGGAGTAAAACTTGATCAACCAATAGATACAAATTAAAATAGGTGTCACCAGGATGCATGGAAGTGACCAGTCAAGTGATTTAAGCCAATATTCATTGTAGTTCAATTGCTAGAGGCATATATACAGTCTAACATGATTCCAATTATGATCAACAAGGAAATTGATTTGCCACTTGCAGTAAACTCATTTTCATTAATATAAAACACCAAGATGCAAAATCTTGAATTCATCAGGAAATGCTGTATTGAAGCTACAAGATTATAAATTCACTTAAAATATTAACCTATTGGACAGTCTAGATTATGAAACTGGTTTTGCTAAAATTGTTTCACAAATCAATGTTTTGATGGGTGGTTTTTGAATATAATTAATGGAAATGGTTTATCATTCATTAAACTATTCAAATCAAGCAAGGGCCAAAGGCATGATACATATCATATAATAAGTGGGTTTTCAGCAAACAACTAGCAAGCCATGCTTTTGGTTCATTCATGTGAGCAAATGATGACCATGTAAACCATAAATAAATTATTATTGTAGAAAAGAACTGATGTATGCGGAATAATCTTTAGAAATCTGAATAAGCCAAATAAGAAACCCAACTCTGCATACTTCGTGAGAAACAGTGCAGTTTACATTTTCTTGACTTGCTGGCTCCCATCAGTTTAGAATATTTCAACTTTCTAAGCCACAACTGACACTTTCTCATGAAGCTTTGTGGACCCATCACCCATGAGATCATAGTGGCAATTTCATTTTTGGTTGCATGACCTAGTTGAATATTTTGTTTGATATCCAATGGAGCCTTCAAGATAAATACTCGTGGAGAGACAAAGTCAGAGGGAAGGTCAATAAAAAATTCTCTTGTCAGCCACAATGCGCAAGCTTGTGTGGAAAACATCTACCTTTTGAACCATGACTAGAGTTTTCATGCCATTTTTGGAACTATGCAATTTCCAGTAGATGAATGAATTATCTCCTGTCTAATTGTAAACAAAAGTACATGATCAGGCCATGAAATTCCAGATGTATTAAAAAATTGTCACTTTGGAGCCAAGAGCTTTCAGAAACCAGTTAGACATTCCAATCTTATTTATTAGATTACTGCTAGATGAATTACCCAGCAGCAGGCATGGAATATATCTACTTTGAAATCTATCTACTGTAGATGGTTGAAATAGTGATGTCATACTATTGCGCGCAAGATTTAAAAAAAAAAACACTAGGTCTAGCGGGAAAATGTTAAGATCCACAGAGCAAAAGTCCAAGTCAGCTAGTGAGAACATCAAAACATGTACCGTAAAATGGGGTAACTTAGACCACTTTTATTTTTATAAATGATGCCATTTTTTTACTAGCTAAATTAAACTTGAATTGAAACATGCTAAATACAGGTCTATACTCTAGCTTCACTCACAATAAATTGCTGGCTCCTGCCTCTCATAGTCTTTATGTAATTTCAAAAGAAGTGGTGGTCTTTGTTACCCCAGCTCTTGGAGTAACTTAGACCGGGTGGTAAAATCAATTATATTTTTTGGTAAAATAACTCCAGGTATATGGTTTGAGACTTTTAAATAAGTCTGTGAATATATTAGGAATCCTTTAAGTATACTTTGTATTTGCTGATTTCAAGTGGTAAATAAATTAATAGATGATTGATTTAAGAGACAGTTTTAGAAACATAAAAACTAATTCTGACACAGGGTTTTGGAATTACCACACACAGGGTGTTGTATTCTGACACAGGGTATTCCAACACAGGGTGTTGGAATTACGAATTTGAAGTGCTGTCTGAATTAGTCTCACAATATGCCTCATTTAGTCACACACATTGTCGGACAGTCAGAATTTAGCGATTTTGTAGATTAGAATTCTAAAGGCTTTTAAATAAATATGGCAACAGTTTGTGACGTCTCATCATTGCTGGCGCATAGTGTGGTGTTTTGAGAGTAACGTAAACCAATCAGAACTCAAGTTGCGCATACTGTAATCCAAGGTGCAGAGGGTGGATGCAGCGTTGCCAATATATGGGTTTTTAAGCCCTAAGCGTCGCCAGGTAATTTTAAGATGCGTCGCCGGGTAATTTTTAATGAAAAGCCATTTACCTTGAGTAATGAAAAACTATTTACAAGCCACAAACTTATTTACAAGGTTGCATGCACGTGTTACCCCAAATAACGAATTTTACCCTAAAAACAGTCTGATTGTACAGCAAGTGTCAACTGAACATGTGATAATGCAGTCTGACCGCTCTAATGTGACCGCAACTACGTACTCGTAAACTTGATGTTTACATTTTTTTTGGCAGGAACTCATCGCAACTGATTTCCGGACAAGATTCACTGCATCTTGATCCATCCAACATACCGGAAACCTTACTTTTTTTACATAGTTGGCAAAAGACTGACAAATATATTAAATGCAAGAATTTCAATCTAAATGTGTCGGCAAGATCTTCTGAAGGCGTAAATTTTGCTACTGAAGCGTCGCCAAAGATCTTGCAATATTCATCCACTCTCTGCACAGTGGTGAGTGGACGGTGATCTATTTTTAGCCATTTATTTCTTGCTACCTACATCCTTAAGGTGTCAGAATATGGTGTGTTTACCCTATGACTTTTCCAGTCCTGTCCAGTGTCCAGCTGCTCCAGCAGTAATCTTCTTAAAAACATTCCTCATTTCTTTAAATGAATTTTTTAGAGCAAACAAACAGCAACAAATTTGTATAAATATTTTCATCAAAAATTTCAAAATCAAGCAACAAGTGAACTTATAAGCATAATTCAATGTCTTTAGGTAATAGTCTTCCTCACCCTAATTTGGAAATCCCAATCTGGCAATCTTGAAAATTTGACAGAAGTCACCTAGGGTAAACGCGGTATATTCCGACATCGTGGGTAATTCCGTCACCTCTCTAGTTTTTCCTTTATATTAAGCTTTGTTTTAGTTCCATGCGTTCGTTGATGGTTGAAATGGTGACGTCATACATTTGTGCATCGAACTAATGCCAAAACACTAGGTCTTGGCCATCTAGCAGGAAAATATTGAGAACCAAAGAGAGACAATGCACACTACCCAGTGAGATCATCGAAAAAAGTGTCAAATTTGACAGTTGACCTTGCTCTACCAAATAGTGAATAACTGTTTTTATAGGAAGAATATTATGGTTTGAGACTTTTAAATACGTCTGTGAATATATTAGGAATCCTTTAAGTATACTTGTATTCGCTGATTTCAAGT